CATTGAGGCCGGCTAGATCAGGCATGATCACAGCCGTAACAAGTAACAAGTACAAGTAACATCTATATCAGATGCAACGCGGAAAGAGTACTTCCGTATACGCGAGGTAGGCTAACTAGTGTCAAAACGTGTTTCTATGAAGAAAAAGAAACAAGATAGGAGTCGTGGAATCAAATGACAGCAGAAAAGTTGGCCTAAGACCTGAAAGTACCCGAGCGATTGACAGTACACTGGTAGCGACCAGGAAACACCTACCTTAGTGATGGGCTTCGAGAAGACTAGGCCGATGGTTTGGTCCACGTGCTTGAAGCAACTAGCTTCCACGTTGGTCAGACGAGCCACTGCATGGGGATCGGGGAGACTCCAAGTGTAGAGATAAACCGGACGACCTGCCGTCAGTGGTTCTTGGTAAGGCGCAGAAAGGCAGTAGAGGCGCTGAAAAGTCAAAAGGAAAGGGGTGTCAATGAAGTGATTTAGGAATCCAAATAACGACCAGAACAGCAATCCTGGAGCATCTTAATTGCGCCTGGGACCGAAATTTTTGTAAAATGTGACCTTTAAACTGGGGCAGTCGCCTGTAGTCGTGATTATTTTTGCAGTTCTCGTACCAACACACAGTCAAAGACCCCTCAAGTATGAGAAACTACAATACACAGCGAATGACCAATTGCGTGTAAAAGTAGCCGAATTCCTGAAATGGGTTGTAGAATGTTGACGAAACAGAGAACTAAAAGCTCGGTTTCGCTTGTAAAAAGCGTCAGTGTCGTCTGTTGACTAGACGGACACCTGTGAGATCTGAAAAGGGCTCAATGGAACAGGTTTATTGAACTGCTGAGGTTTTTGAGAAGATGGTCGGCTCGCCATTGTCAAAGGGTTAATCGAACGTAAATGAAGGCGGCGTGCAGCGACCTGTTTGTCGACCTCGAATGGAGAGGTGAGGGTCAAGGTTCGATCTAGACCCAAGTTCAACCTTGAACCTGCGAACATCGCTAAAACTACATTTGTAAGGATAGCTTATGAGTACCACCTTAGTATCACCCAGATCCAGAAGTCAATAATACGTAAACAGAAGTAATGAAAAAAGTAGGATTGCAATTAAAAGTAGCCATTTAGTCTAAGAAGCAGTCACTACAACTATCCAAAAACAAGTTAAATAATGTTCTTTACATGGTAGATACATAGATGCAACAGAAATAAACCATTAATAAATTAGCTTTTCACTAGTTTCAGCGTCTGGCTTCTTTTTAAATATGTGGTTGAACAGAGATGGTACCTCGAAAAGAAAAGTTTTGATTTTACCACAGGTCCCGTAAAAACATAACTCTGTGGTTTTGGCTTACTTTGGTTATATCTATTAACTATTTTACCCCTAATGCTGTCTGACTGTAATAAGAAGCCTACTCATACGTCCAAACCTAAACATGGTCACTCCTGTTTGTCTGAAATAAACTGAACCCTTAGAAAGACGGGTGCCGAGCAGCAAGTTAGACAGTTGAAGGTACTCAAGTTTAAAAAAATAGGGCAGAAAGCCGACGAACAGGTTATAATCCACAATCTCATTCAAGTCAACTTTTTACGTGGGCGGCTATCGGAAGCAATCAGTGATATAGGAGGGCCACCTGCAGTGGAGCAGCCCTTAGTTAACACGTGAACTTGAGAATTCAAAACAAGCATTGATAGGAAGAGACAGAGAGGGGAGAGGGTATCAGGACTCACATGAAATCGATAGAAGCGAGCGCGGGTCATAAAGGTAACGCCGGTGGATTTGCGGTTTTCCGTCAACGGCAGCTCCTCGTCAATGCCCCGTTCCT